TCTCCAAGGCCACCTTTGACTAAAATTCTATGCAATTCACAGTACATTCTTATCACAGGTTTTGTGACCTTCCACTGACAATAGCAGAATACATTACAAGTTTGCAATGGCAAAGTTGTTTTGGCATGTCATTGCCTGAGATTTCTAAATCTTGAGTAAGACTTCAATGTGGTCTGTAGAACTGAAGTTAAAACTACACAGTATTAAGAAAATGATCCAATACTTTTCCTCATAACATATGTGTATGAATCTGGATAGAAGAATAATCTTTTCAATGTATCCAAAAGAAATAGGAAACATTTTAAAGAGGGGAGAAAAGAAGCTCTGCCTCATTAATATTTGGAGCAACACTTGCTCCCTTACTATATCACGAAATATAAAAATATCATGTATTAAATATATTTTAGTAAGCATTATGTTCTGCAACTCAATTAGTTCTATTTTAAGACCTTAGATAACTTATTACTTATATTTTCAAAATCAGGGAAATAAACTAAAGACAACTCTGGAAGTTGAGGATGAAAACTGAGTTACTTACGATAAATAAGAATACAGATTTCAAAGACAAAAACATCCTCCCAATCCAAACAAATCAAAATTTAAGTGCACAGAATTGGTATTACAAAGTAAAACCTTTTTCTTGATCTTACTCTGGTGATCTGAATAATCCTAACACATCATGGGAGAGAATTTTAAAAACAAATTTGTAGTAAAGTAAAAACACACATACAACCTGCCAACCTGATGTAACTATACTGGATTACAAAGTCAAGATAAATTCAACATTAGTTTAAACAAAATCTGAACAGATAATTGTGGAAAAAAATATACCTAAATGCTATACTAGTGCTCAAAAGATACTCACTTTTTGTGCTGTAGCAAAAATGCAGACATAGCCAAATGTAAGAATGGGCTGCATTTGATTCTCATACACAGGGAACCAGGCAAACATTAAGAGCTCAGCTACCATTTTTAATGGCTGCATATTCATTCTTCTACAAATGACTTAAATTACCCCTTCTTGTTATTTATTATGTTCCTTTATAAACAACTGTATTAGGCATCTTTGTACAAGAGACATTTAATCCTCTTCCTTAGGATAAATACCCAGAAGTGTAATTTTACATAAAAAAACTGAGATCATGCTTTAAAAATTTTTTAAACAATTTTATAGGCATTTCTTAGTGATATTAAATATTCTTCAAGTTAGAAGTCAAAATTTGTCTTTTGAAACTAAGAATTGTCTCCTTTATTTTGTTAATATCCTATACTTAACACAAACACACAGTTAAGTTATAACTTAAAGATCAGTATAAATTACTGATAAAATTGGGTGAAACCACTTATCTAAGGGTTTCCATTTCAATGCTGTATTTCATAAAGCAATAAGCCCATCATAAAACTTTGTACTTTACTAAAGGGCCTTATCTAAACACACACATTATGTGTCCCTCATGAGGTTCAAATCAGTGGAAACTCACAAGGTAGTCAGATCAACCGTGACACCAACCAGTCACTCTGAACTTTGGTATCAACTAGGCTGAAGGCTTATTAAGCCTGTTATTGGAAAGCTCGCAGCAGCACTACAATTACTAGCCAATGAAGAACATGTTGCTGTCATCCCACTGTTCCCTGTGATTTGCTTTTATAAAAGCAAAAATATTAAAGACCATAAGACAACTTTTCTTCTGCAAATTACTGGAATAAGGTAAGAAGCTCCTTCAAATTTATTTCCTAAATTTAATCCTAGAACACAATTAAATCCTGGGTGGAAAATTCTATTTTTAATTTAATCCCACATTTTAAAAGTGACAGAAAACATTTTGGAAAAATTTTTATTTAGTGAACATTATTATTTCTTCACCAAAATGTCATTATTAACATGAACAAAAATTTGAGGTAGTTAAAGCTAACACTCAAATTAAACTAAAAATTCCAGGTCTTAACTGTTTCTAGTAAGCGTCTCATAATTTTCAGGAATGAGGGGCTTAGTTTCGTAAATGTGAAGTTAATTATTGCATTAACTGTAATATTGATTATAATCATCTGAAATAAAGAAAATCTAACTAATACAACTTCTTTTCCTTCCCAGGTAGCAAATGTTTCTAAATTTTATCTTCTTTGTGATAAAAATCAGTTGTCTTTATTAACTAAGAATAGACTTCCATCTAAATTATAATGGCATTATACTACAGATTCAAAAAATGATCCATGATGTTAAAGTCAGAAATGGAATTATTTCTTCAGAAAATAAAAGTGCAAATGAGGACATTAATTTGAACCAGAGCCTCAAATCTACCGGTTTCTAAACTTATTTAGAACTAGAATAAATCAAGATTTTCTTTTGAAAAACAACAAGAGGTAAATTCACAGACTTTCATCAAGAAAAGCAAACAGATCTTCTGACATACTGAGTGGAGTTATCAAGTGTAACAGCAACTCCATGTGGACTGTGTACCGATCGCCAGTGGAGCTGCTGTTACTTTTGATGGTTACCAACTTGCTACAATATAAAAAGGCAGATCCAAAGGCAGAAAATTGTGGTCACTTGATTGTCTGATTAATGAAGAAAAAAGATAATCTTTCATGTTGTTTTGAAAAATAAGCAAATAACTAAGAATATCCATTTTCCTAAATCAAGTGCATGTCACATAAAAGTCCCAACAATGGAAGAAGATTAGAGTCATCATTAAGAAATGGTACACAGGAAAATGACCTATGAATTGACAGACAAGATGGCTGAGTCTGTCTGTCATTTCTGTAGGCCACTATTCTGTTTATCTCTGCTACTTCAAAGTCAGAAATCAGCTACCACCATGCAAGCAGTGTAATGGTAAATGCATAGAAAAGAATACACCACATAATCGTGTAAATGTACTGACTATAAATAAAATGTAATGGTACCTAATGAAAATTTGCTGTGTTTTTCTGACAAAGCTCACATTTACTTCACCTAGCTTAGCAACCAATGACCCATGTACAACTTTATTGTCATGACAAAATAATGGTCCAATAAACCAGTCTGCTCTACTTAGTAATACAGATAGACGATTGATCAATAGATATAGCCAATCTCAATCACTTCAAGGAAATTCCCTAAAAATCTTGTTCTCTAAATACTGAAAAGAAAAAAAAAACAATAGCAGTGGCTTATAAATATTTCTGAAAAGAAAATTCCCCACTGTGGAATTTTAAATACTTGTGTAAATTTATCTCATATTTAAGATATTAAGATGTTAGCAGCTTACACATGACCAAGCTCTCAATTATAAAAACAACACAAGCAACAATATTTAGGCCAAAGAGTCTTATCTCAGCTCCAAATTGTACTGATACTGAAATAACTTTACAATGACTTCCTGGTCTCTAGCCTCTAGTTTCTTTTCCTAAAACATACTCTTAATACACATGCCTACTTAAAAGCTTACACTCTTTAACCTAGAATTCAAGACTCACTATAATTGGCCCAACCAATCTTTTTCAGTGTTTATCTTTCTGAAACTCCCCTCACATACCCACTGTCCCATTACAGTTCCTATACACATGCTATGTTTCCGCACTCCAGGTTCTCAGCTCTTGCTAATCCCTCCACTTGCAAAATACTTTCCCCCATTTCCTACCTAATCCACAAGTCCCTACTCAAATGCCACATCTCTTGTGAATGAAGCAAAATAAGCTGTTTTATGGTTTGGTATTTGCCCAAAACAGAGCTTCTAACTCCTCCCTCTGAGCCATGATGTTGTAGGTGTCAGATCACCCATGAAATAGTAATAAAATGCATATTTCAAATTGAAAAGGAACTTTCACATGAAGGATACTAATAACTACCTCATAAGTAGCTATACTTATGAAAGAAAACTAAACACTTTAATCAACCTTATAAAAAGCCCTAAAATACATGCATTTATAAAAGTACCACCTAAGTAAATACTGAGAATATCAACAATGAAAAGTAGAACCATCTTACAAAAATTCTGATGAACCCCACACTGGGACATTCAACTCCATGTCTATAGTCATTTGAACTCCCCATTACCTGCTGGCCTCCATGCCCTCAAAAACCTCACAAGATCTTCAACTGATGAAATGTGAAAATACTTAAAAAATGTGCTCAAATTCTTTACTCATGTTCAACATAATTCAGTAAAAATTCCATTAATGAAACTAAAACAAAATTATTCACAGAAAATGACAACCTAGGACATATTCCTAAGAGGAATGATTAATATTCCCCTTTCCACATCTGTTAACAGCCACAACACTGAAAGCCTCCCTAATTTACTAGAATAAACCAACTAGACTATCATCTCATTAACAGCAAGGACCATGTCAGTCTTGTTCACAGCCTCAAGAATTTAGTGTCTGGATTAGGAAAAAGATCTTTTCACTTGCTGTTCACTTCCTCACTTAACATCAAGGCTTTTCTACCTTGAATTGTTTATTATGTCAATGTATTGTATTTATAAATTAAAAGAAGACATTAAGGAAAAAAGAGTAACTGAGAATGTAATCATCACTGGAATTAATATAAATTTTTTTGCATTTAACTGCATTATAATGTCTTAAATTTTAAAGGCTCTATAAACAGTTATATAATGCCACACTTCTACTGAAAGGGAGAGCAGACTCAGAGTAAAGGAGTGGCTCTAATTCCTAAAGAACAATTCCATCCCAGTATCCCCTGCTAAACACCATCATCTTTGGATTGTTAACACTTTTTTCTAGCAACGCAAGGTACAGTCAAGAACAATGAATTCTCATAGGAAAGAAAAGCAGAGCCTTTGCTTTTAAATATCAATACTGAAAAAAAGAATTGCTATTCCTAAATTTCAACCACGTGGAAGGATCTTTTCAAAAATCATATTTTACTCCTCTCAAAAGGATCATTATTTTAGAGGATTTTATTAAACATGTATCAGTTCTCAACTATCCACTATTTTTCCATTTTTTAAGAAAACATAATTCACTTTAAAATGTTGAAAAATTATAAGGAGTTCTACCTGTTGATCAAGAATTCATCTTTTGTCTTATGATGAAACACAGGAATTGGAACACCCCAAACTCTTTGCCTTGATATACACCAATACGGCCGTCTGTCCAGCATTTCGACCATGGCATTCAGTGCTGATCCGGGAATAAATGTCACTTTTTTTAACAATTCCTGCCATTAATTCACAAGTAAAGTCCAGTAAGAGAAAGAAGAAAAATTTTCTAGAACTGTCACTATTTATCCTAATACAGTTCTTTATTTTAGATGTGCACACACATTTACATACACCTCCTTCCCCCCCCAAAAAATAAACTAAAAAAAAACAGATTTCAGGGCAAATGAGGCATAGTTAAAATGGGGCCACAAAGGACCTAATAAATAACATCAAGAACAGGCTTCACCTTTGGAAGATGTGACAAGGGATTTTATACTAATTTCCAAGCACCTACATCAAAACTGGTAGTAACAGGTTTAGTAGACGTAGTATACTTCATTAATCTATGGTTAAAATCTATTCAAATTTAATTTCAATGATTTTTCTTAGAGATACTTAAAAAAATAAGCTCCTGTCTTATGTTGACAAAGACTGCAACACAGTCTAGTTTTACATACTACGATTTAAAACATACAAATCACTTTCTCAAAATGTTACTTCCTATCTCTCAAGAACTCTCTCAACTTCCAACCCCCAAAGTCATAGACTACTAGTATTTGATTTCACTTCATTTGTCAATTACCAAATGATAAATTATATAGCAAAGACGTCTGATAATAATCTCCAAAATATGTTAACTTCATTTAAAAATCTCTTTCTACCCATTAAGAAAAGCATTTTTCTATCTTCAAAACAGGTTTAAATGGTTTCCTCACATCAACTACCAGAAATCCCCTCCCCAAAAAGCCCTGTGTAGCACCACCTGCTGGCAGAATGGCACATCTGCAATTCAATTTGATAAACGCTTGGTTTAAAAATCCAAGAAATACGAATACTGACGGGATTATTTGATTTTGCTAACAACTATTACTTTCTTTTCACATTAAAATACATACAGCTATTACTTTTTTAATAATGGCACTGGAATTATGTTTTAAAGAACCTTTAACTTTCACGTATATGCTGAAATATCTATGACATAATGCCTGAAATTTGCTTCAAAATAATCCAATGGATAGGAAGTAAAAAGTGGGGGGTTGTACGGGTACAGATAAAAATAGGTGTCCAGAGTTGACTATTGTTGAAGTTGGGTGATGAAAACACAGCAGTACATTATCCTATTCTCTCTACTTCTATAAAAAAAAACTGAAAACTGTCTATAAACATGTTTTTAAAAAACTTGGCTTCAGCATATTCCATCAGACTTAGATATTCTTCAACCAAAAATCTGTTCAGTGCTGGAATTTACAAATTTTAACATTTACAAGTAAGGAAAACAGGCTTCATAGGACTGTAAAAAAACAAAACGAAAACCAATCTATCTCACAGTTGTCCAGTCTACACAAACACAGAACATGCAAATTGCTTGGACAGCTTTGGCAAAGGCCCCAAATTGCAAGGCCAACAAATGAACCAACTATTTGTGGTAATATGTAAGATGCAGCTATAAAACAAAGTATCTGTATATTCAGACTGGTTTAACAAATATGTATTTGAGCTCTTTCATTCAATAAAATTAATTTACTCATAGCATACATACACAGATACATATATGTATGTAATTAAAGAGCTCAAATACACATTAATATTTAGAACACCAATTGTACGGTATTTGTTAAAGCAACAACTTCTCAAATGGACTGTAATTTCAATACTAAGGAAGCAAAGGGTTTTAAGAGAGTTTTACTGAATGCTTACCATGTGCCAAGCACTGTTCTGGAACTTTCACTCACTTATCCCATGAAATAGGCATTATTAGCCCCTTATGTGGATGAGGAAATAGGTTCTGAGAAGTTACACAACTTGCTAAACTCTGTTCTGCCCTGACTATATGTTATTTTCACTACACTGGACAGGCAGCTTGAACTTAAGCTCTTTAAGCTAAATTACCTTGGCTGTAGTCTTAATATCCGTGATATTTACAAACCACTGCTTGCTGGCACGAATAAGCACTGGTTTCTTAGTCCTCCAGTCATAGGGATAGCTGTGTACCAGTCTTTCCTCTTTCAACAAATTATCTGCAGCCTGAAGCATCTTTATAACTTTAAGAAATCAATAACAATTTACATTAGACATAATAAAAAAGTGCAATGAAAGCCTAATAATTCTCTAAACTACCAAGGAGTATTAAATCTGGGCCAGTAGGTACCAATCAGTAAGAGTAGCCACCTACCAGGTATCAAAGGCATAATCTGGGAATCTCCTGGCATAAAAAGCAGGCACTATAAGACATTAATGAGACTCCAAATTATGCCATTTCTATGGCTTTTCACATCAAAAGAAGAAGAACAGATATTCTACATTTGAAATTCAGAGTTGGTCTTTCACACCACGAATCTTAAAATGGTCTCTAGGTGATCTAGAAGAAACCAGGTAGAGTTGGTTTAAATTTTGTCCCCCAAAAAGATATGTTCGAGTTCTAACACCAAATACTTGTGAATGTAACCATATTTGGAAATAGGGTCTATGCAAATGTAATGAAGTTGAGAAGAAGTCACACTGGATTAGAGTGGGCCCCAAATCCAATGACTGGTGTCCTTGTCAGAGAGAGGAGAAGATACACAGAAGCACACAAGGGTGAAGGAGCACATGTGACAACAGAGGCAGAGACTGGAGTGACACAGCTGCAGATCTAGGAATGCTGAGGATTCCCAGGAACCGCCGAGTGCTAACAGCTTTTTCAGAGGGAGCAGGACCCTGCTAAGACCTTGACTTCAGACTTCCAGCCTCCAGAACCAAGAAAGAATAAATGTTTGTTGTTTTAAGCCACTGAATTTATGGTAATTTGTTACAGTAGCCCTGGGAAAGTAATACTTGACTTAGTCTTGATCTTACTGTGAGCAAAGAAAGGTTTTTCATAGTACCTGGTTCCTGGTATAGAAAGACAACTCAAGACTGGAGAACCCCTAAGACTGTAATACATAAACCATGTATATGGGTCGGGGATTTATAAAGATTATGAGAAAAGTGGGGTCTAAAATCACTGTCAACATCTAGTCTCAAGATTGACTTTATCTTCCATAGAGTAACACTACTGGTCATTATCTCTATAGTCCTGAAATAACATCTCTTTCTGTTGATTGTCTTGATTTGCTTAAACAGAAAGAACAACTTCAAAGCAAAAGATGAAAAGTCCAAACTCCACCTTCATCATGTGGCAAAATAAAATATATAATTTTAGCCTTTTGTTTCTGTTGAAAGGATAAGACGGAAGAATAGCCAGCAAAGGTTACTGCTGGCTGCTTCTCAGAAAATACGTAATTTATGATGTCAACATACACAATACTCACCGGCATCTGTTCCCTCTTCAAGCACAGCCTTGTTTTTAAGTTCAGGACCTGCAGTATCAGTGAAAACTCCATCTTCATCCACTAAACAATCCTACAAAGTATCATTTTGAACAATTAAAGTATAAAGACATTTTATCTTATGACAATATCTGGCAAAACAGTAGTCTAGTCCTTTACTAAAGTGAAAATGTAGATACTTAATATTCACTTAATAGAAATTTGTGTATTTACATATTTCAATAACTAAAGGCAAAATGTCTTGTTAATTTTATGCCTTAAGTTTAATAACAGAAAGTAAAATATGCAAAAAACATCTTTAACGTGGTCTCGATTAATTCACAGATCCATGCCAAAGTATATACATTGTGATGACTTTCGAGTCTCACCTTTTACTAAATGGAAAAACTTGCTAAGTAACCAACATGTGCAGTATCAACTTGGGGAGGACTGTTTAGTTTTAAAAAACCAAACTGCTATTTTCAACTAATAAAACTAGTAAAATCCGCTTGCCATTTCTCAAGGACTAAAAGTAATTTATCTATGTGACTGAATCCTTGAAAGACAAACACTGCCCCCATTTAAATATATATTATTCAATTCTAACTTTGTGCTGATTTTGCGTTAATTTTAGAAATCTTTCTCAATAAGTATGAATTAATGAGGCTTTGAGGTACTGGACAAATTTAAGCTTTCACAATTATCATGACAAAAATGCTTATTATAAAAAAGTAAAGATGTTAGTTCAGATTTATTACTTTTATTCTACAAAAGCAATAATTGAAAAGAAGAGGAACAGTACCATGGTCAGGCCGTGCTGAGAAGCCACACTGTAATCTTCCATACCGTGAGCTGGCGCTGTGTGCACCAATCCCGTTCCTTTTGTCATGGTCACATGATTTGCAGATAAAAGCGGAGAGACTTTACCAGGAATTAAAGGATGAGAACAAGTACCATCTTCCAAATCTGAACCTATGGGCAAGAAAACCACAATTGAGAATTATTTCATATGGTAATTCTCCTACCTCTTTAAGGGCAGAATCTGGGGAGACTGGGCTGAAATCCTGGCTTCCCCTTTTACTTGCTCTGTGATGCTTGGGAATCTATAAAATGTAAATAATTATAGTTCCTACATCAGAGAGCTGCTATGCGATAAATTGAGTTAATGTATTTAAGTATTTTGGGCACTTAGTATGATACCTGCCACACAGTAAATTACTTAAAATATTAGCAATTATTGTAACAAATAAGCAACTCAAATGAGCACAAGAAAATTTCTCTCATTTATGTACAGCTATGTACCTTTTGGAACATGAGTGCAAAGAAATTCTAGGTCAACAGGTCAATGACCAGTAGGTTCTATGTGGACAGGAGGTACTTCTGTGAGAACTCAGTTACTGCTTTTCATGTTGTTACCCTGAAAAGGTAACAGATAATAACTAATATCTAATAGTTACTGGGCACCCACCATATAATATCCCCACCAAATAGTACCCCCAATTTACAAATCAGAAAACAAGAAAATGAAGGCATTTGCCTGAGGTCACATGGCTAAAAAAATGACTGAATCCAACTTCTAACCCATACTCTAATGCTCTATATAACTCCAGCTCCCTTTAATAATACATTATCTTTCCATTTTTCTATACCATTATTGTTTCCCATCTTTCCTACCTCATGAGTTGAGTTCTATAAACTTTCTTTCACATGTTCTAAAAATAACAGTCTCCAAACGTTAAAAGGATTTTCTGTTCTACATACATACTTTCCAAGATGGACTGAAAGTCTGTTTACCCTATCTACTCTACAATAATTAAAGAAATTTCACTGGCCCTCTTATTCCTCAGATCTTCCCCACAAATAATTCTTCATCTTTCCAAATTAAATAATATTAACTTTTTAAAACCTGTCCTCACAGAGAAATTTCTCCACTTCTATGATCATTTTTTCTAGTCATATAGTAATGAAAACTAAGTAACCCACTCATACCACCAAAAAAACAATACAAATCTTTTAGCTTTGACATTTCATAGATAACCCTACTGCTGATTTTATTTTGGTCAAAACACCACAATGGGTAAAAGGCTTCAGAAAAATCAACATTCCCTTATAACTGATGACAACAAAACTCCCTTTTCTGAAAAAACATCACAGGTTTTTCTTGTTATTTGGTTGACTTGGCATTTTATTACTAGGAAATACTCAAATTACTAGGAAAAACCTGAATATTTTAGGATGCATTCTTCCCAAGACAATTCATTGACAAAAGAAAGAATTGTCAACATTGATTTTTAGAAAAATCTACTCTAGCTTTCACTTTCTTTCAAGTTAGATTCATAAGTAAGACCAGTACGCACGACCCTATACTGTACCTTTCATGCATTTTTAGAATAGAAATCAAAGGTTTGGGGCAAAGTAATTTCATCTATTAACTTCCTTTATCCTCATACTTTAGTATATTAGCTACCACCTAATACTCTCCCTCATCAACAAAATCTCTAAACGATTAACAAAAAGCAATTTCTATTTTTCTGGGGAAAAAAAAAACCCTACATGGTTAATAATAAAACTATAAACAATAATAATTATTTGAGTTAGTAATAAAATGTAATATTGCTGATATAATAGTAATAAAAATTATTCCATTTTAGCCATTCAGTATCCCTACTACTTTAATTAGTAGTAAACTGGCTGCCACAAGCTTGTTTTCCTAAGTATGAGCAGTAAATATCCTCCTCTGCAATGTGATTGCTCAAAATGGCAACCCAGGAATTCTCTGCACAGTAAATAATTTTAAACAATTATGCAGTCTAGGAAATGACCTTATATTCAACCTTAATATTTTCAGACCTTGTGGAATGCCATTTGGCTTCTGTAACAACATCTTACTTGTCAAAGAAGTCTATGATTCTTTCTGTACTCAGGAGGTGGGAAGAGTATTGTAATAAAGAATACAGTGGAACCTCAAACTAACCTATTGTACCAACAGGGCCAAGTGGTACTAAATAGTAAATACCTGTAGCTTCTTTCCAGCCTTGACATAAAACCCTTTTTATTTTTGTTAAGATTATTTAAATTTCTAATTGGCTTGTATCTGAACTGTTGCATTTAGGAGGATTCTCTATGTAGCTAGGCAATCTTTACATTTTTGGGTACCTCTATTCATGTGATTTTTTTTTAGGAAGAAATTCAAACATATATCATCTCTAAGGATCAAAGGTATTTTTAAACTTCCCTAGATTCCCACAGTTATATTTTAAAACAAGTCACTAATTTAGAAGTTCCAAATTCTATCTTAGTATGGATTCTAATAGAAGCATTGTCTTTGGAATAGTTTTCATAATTTATTCAATTTCCTTATTAAAATCATATACCAAATAAATACATATTTATTTTCTTCTTTGACTAAATCAGTTCCTTGACTAAACCAGATAAAAATAATTTTGGGTGCTTTAATTTTGAGTAAAATTTTAAAAGACTATTTCTACATTCAACATTGAACAAAGGACTTTTGTCCAATTTTACATTGAACATTTCCCAGAAATATTTTATTTATTGTTTTTGTCAATGTTCATATTTCTCTATACTCTCATCATGTTTAATATATATTCTCTTTCAGTGTGATCAATGTAAAATATAGTCTAGAAAGGTAGAGGCCATTATCTGTTTTGATTCACAGTAAGTAATGTTCAGGGAACTACTGAACTCAAATCAACCAAATATTTTGATGACTATGATAGTCAGAAATCTTTAAATCTTTACCTGAAAATGTTGAAATAACCTCAAATGTTGTTTCCAAAGCAGAAGCAACAGATGTTACTTTATCTGCAGCCAGTATGTAGAGGTTTCTGGATTTGGAACATTTCACAACAGCATAACTAAAATAAAATTAGGAGAAAACAAATAATGAAAAAAGAAAAGCCACAGAAAACATTTTAAATGTTTTGAAAAGCTTCAAGATCAAAAAAGTACTATTTGCAAAGGACTTCATCCCTTACACTTCTGTTTTGTTTTCCTAAAAAAGTTGGAAATAAGGTCTTAAATGGGATCATCTATAGCTTAATAAAATCCACATGAACATAATAACTAAGTTATAATTTACTAAATTTTAAGAGGATAAAACGGATGAAATGAATCCAAAATAATGCCAACAATGGAACTGATCCTGTTTGTGCACAATAAATGCAGTAATATACCTACGTTGAGTTTGGCATATAGCAAACAGCTTGATTGGCTGGAACTGTCCAAGGCTGGGTGGTCCAGACTAAAAAACTAACAGGAGATGAATCATCTGTGAAAATAAAATTTCAAGTATGAGCAAATGTTACAATCCTATAAACTTTAATAAACTGAAGCAGTGAATAAATCTTACCTATCAGAGATGCCAACTTAGGAGAAGGTTTCAAGAGAGGGAATTTCACATATATTGAGCGACTGACATGCTCAGGATTATATTCAAGTTCTGCTTCAGCCAATGCAGTCCTAAGGTTTAAAAATAACAGGTAAATATCTGGAAGCCTTATAAAATTCTACCCTTTAACTACCAAAAACACATACATACCTTGATGAGGGAGACCAAAACACAGGTTTGTAAGATCGATAAATCAAGCCCTATAAAATGACAAATACATTATATGAATGTTGGAATTTTATAATACATAATTTAACAAACTCAAAGGAAAATAAATACTTCATTACCTTATCATACATTTGGTAAAAAATTCTCAACTGTTTGGCCTCATAACTTCCATCAAATGTATAGTAGCAATTATTCCAATCTGCCATTATTCCCCAGCGAATAAACGCTAATCTCTGTTTCTCAATTGCTGCTTTAGCAAATGATCTAGCTAAAACAAAAAAGGAAAAGCTTTTGAAAACCAATAAATTCAAATTCTTAAACATGGTTTAGCATGTATCTCTCTAAATGCATGTATTATATACAGCTTAGCCTACAAAATGTATTTAATAGGAAAATTATTTTCAAAGTTAAAGGTGTTCAGAAGATACCTAAAACAAATTTGAAAATTAACTAGGATATCAAAAGTTAAAATTTCATTACTGATTTCTGTATTTTCCAGACTTTATATAGTGTATTTTCCAAACTTTATGCAATCTAATTACATTTAGAAAAAATAAACTGGAAAAATTATTCATATTTATTAATTCAAGAAAAAATGAGAATAATTCTTATTTCATTATACATGCAAAAAATTAATCAGTACATCCAATCTAAGGTAATAATAATATATTTCACAAAGAAGTAAAAAATGTTCATAGTTACATCCAATTATGCAGTAGTTTAACATATATGAATAGAAGATTCCTCTCTGACCCAAGCTACTGAAGGAAAGGATCAAATAAGAGATTAATTTAAAATAAATATGTATTTTAGAATTTACTTTTAGTGTCACGCCTGAAATAGTTTAGAAAGCCCTAGCCAGGAAAATAAATAAAAACAATGACCAAAATAATAAGTTCACAAAGTATGGAGACTAAAGAACTGAAAAAAATGTACTTGGAAATGCTCACAAATCTTTCCTTCAATCTCTTAACATGAGTTCTCCAAAAGTCAATTAAACAAAATGTATGACAAAGTGGTTTCCAACATATATCATTATAACAAAAAAGACAGAAAGAAGAAAAACAGATGGTCCCTTTGATAAAATTCTTTTACAAGGCAACAGTGTTTGCAAGCACCATTTTTAAACAGAAACAGAGATTTACCTTTCTCTCTAATTTCCACAGCTGACAGATTCTGAGCTTTTCCACCAAGTTCTGATAATACTTTTATTTCAATGGGTAACCCATGACAATCCCAGCCTGGCACAAAATGTATTTTGGACCCCCTCATCATATGGTATCGATTGGCTATATCTTTCAAAATCTGCAAAGATAAAATGATAATTATCATTCATATATCATAGGTCATAAAGCTTATGACCTTAGTTTATATTCTCTTAGTATCACTAACACTGTAAAAGCCCCATTTTAAAAGGATTTATATAAAATAACCTACTGAATCTACTAACTCAAGCTTTACATAAACACAGGAGTAAGAAATTCGAAGTTTTAAAATGTCATTAAACCCCTTAAAAGCAATGAAAGAGAAAAGATTTCTAAGTGAACCACATTATGCCCTAAATTATTAATTTGTTTGTAAAGTTGGAATATGCAAAAAAGCAGCCCATACTTCCTTTTTAGGAAATTAGTTTAACCTTCTAAAAACCAGAGTACAAATAAGTCAATTACAAATTTGCTTTACTCTTATGAAAACACATTGTTAATGTGAATAATCCAGTATTATTTACAGCTTAGCTAAGAAATATTATAGAACCAATACAGAATTTATAATGCACTCAGAGACAGCAATATCGTAGTTAACTCTTTCTGCCATTTCTAAAACTCTTACTAAAACACTAGACATCGTCACCAGGTATAGCTCTATTACTGATTTACCTTCTTCATTCATTTTAGATACTAGAGGGCAGTGGAACCTTTTAAAAAATATAGCACCATTATAAAATGGAAGATCAAAGGATAGATTGGCTCCAACCTCAATTTCCTTCTTCGCAAAAGGAAATAGTGCAGTAGTCCAGAAAATTATTTCCCCCTTTCCACATCTATCAAAAGTAGAAAAGATATTATACGTTCCTCCCACACCATCCCCCACTCAAAACTCTCCAACTTTCAAACTTCATACCAAAAGGCAGCAGAGAGCTCTATGATCTAAGTGACTACTCACAGCATAAAAATTTATCTAGTTATATATACTTGAAATGTCTATATTTTTTGATAGGTATGTTATTTAAATCAATCAGTATATAAATAGCTTCCTTCCCACTTATCCCTATTTGAAAGGATTCTTTTTATTAGCTGTCCCTTCCCAGTAAATACAAACTCCTTGAAATCAGAGATACTGCCTTTCCTCTTGACCAGTAAGTTCTCAGTATTTACAATGGTATCTGGTATTATTTTATAAATATTTGTTAAATTATGAATGCATGCATGCATATATGCTCTGCCACTGGCTACTAAGCCACTGAAACATGGCTAGTCCAAATTGAGATGTACTGTAAATATAAAATATATACGTGATTTCAAATACTTAGTACAAAAAAAGGAGAATGTGAATGAAGTATCTCAAAAATGTTTACATTTGGCTGTATGTTAAAATAATAGCTTAGAGATGTTGAGTTAAATATAGTAATAAAATTAATTTCACCTGTTTCTTTTGACTATTTTTTAATGTGGCTACTAAAAACTTTTAGTTTACTTTTAATTTTAATTGTGAGTTATGTGGCTCACATTTGTACCTTGCATTATCTCCCCTGAGCAGAGTTGCTTGTAACTATATTAAAAGACTGGAATCATTTGAGCTAATAATTAAAAATACCCCTCCAGAGGTATATCTGGGGCCTCTAGTAAAAGGAACAGCAGGAACACAAAAGGAGAATTTTTCTAATTCCTCAGGATCAAACACTACCCTCCTCCTCTACATTATAACAAAAAAGACAGAAAGAAGAAAAACAGATGGTCCCTTTGATAAAATTCTTTTACAAGGCAACAGTGTTTGCAAGCACCATTTTTAAACAGAAACAGAGATTTACCTTTCTCTCTAATTTCCACAGCTGACAGATTCTGAGCCTTTCCACCAAGTTCTGATAATACTTTTATTTCAATGGGTAACCCATGACAATCCCAGCCTGGCACAAAATGTATTTTGGACCCCCTCATCATATGGTATCGATTGGCTATATCTTTCAAAATCTGCAAAGATAAAATGATAATTATCATTCATATATCATAGGTCATAAAGCTTATGACCTTAGTTTATATTCTCTTAGTATCACTAACACTGTAAAAGCCCCATTTTAAAAGGATTTATATAAAATAACCTACTGAATCTACTAACTCAAGCTTTACATAAACACAGGAGTAAGAAATTCGAAGTTTTAAAATGTCATTAAACCCCTTAAAAGCAATGAAAGAGAAAAGATTTCTAAGTGAACCACATTATGCCCTAAATTATTAATTTGTTTGTAAAGTTGGAATATGCAAAAAAGCAGCCCATACTTCCTTTTTAGGAAATTAGTTTAACCTTCTAAAAACCAGAGTACAAATAAGTCAATTACAAATTTGCTTTACTCTTATGAAAACACATTGTTAATGTGAATAATCCAGTATTATTTACAGCTTAGCTAAGAAATATTATAGAACCAATACAGAATTTATAATGCACTCAGAGACAGCAATATCGTAGTTAACTCTTTCTGCCATTTCTAAAACTCTTACTAAAACACTAGACATCGTCACCAGGTATAGCTCTATTACTGATTTACCTTCTTCATTCATTTTAGATACTAGAGGGCAGTGGAACCTTTTAAAAAATATAGCACCATTATAAAATGGAAGATCAAAGGATAGATTGGCTCCAACCTCAATTTCCTTCTTCGCAAAAGGAAATAGTGCAGTAGTCCAGAAAATTATTTCCCCCTTTCCACATCTATCAAAAGTAGAAAAGATATTATACGTTCCTCCCACACCATCCCCCACTCAAAACTCTCCAACTTTCAAACTTCATACCAAAAGGCAGCAGAGAGCTCTATGATCTAAGTGACTACTCACAGCATAAAAATTTATCTAGTTATATATACTTGAAATGTCTATATTTTTTGATAGGTATGTTATTTAAATCAATCAGTATATAAATAGCTTCCTTCCCACTTATCCCTATTTGAAAGGATTCTTTTTATTAGCTGTCCCTTCCCAGTAAATACAAACTCCTTGAAATCAGAGATACTGCCTTTCCTCTTGACCAGTAAGTTCTCAGTATTTACAATGGTATCTGGTATTATTTTATAAATATTTGTTAAATTATGAATGCATGCATGCATATATGCTCTGCCACTGGCTACTAAGCCACTGAAACATGGCTAGTCCAAATTGAGATGTACTGTAAATATAAAATATATACGTGATTTCAAATACTTAGTACAAAAAAAGGAGAATGTGAATGAAGTATCTCAAAAATGTTTACATTTGGCTGTATGTTAAAATAATAGCTTAGAGATGTTGAGTTAAATATAGTAATAAAATTAATTTCACCTGTTTCTTTTGACTATTTTTTAATGTGGCTACTAAAAACTTTTAGTTTACTTTTAATTTTAATTGTGAGTTATGTGGCTCACATTTGTACCTTGCATTATCTCCCCTGAGCAGAGTTGCTTGTAACTATATTAAAAGACTGGAATCATTTGAGCTAATAATTAAAAATACCCCTCCAGAGGTATATCTGGGGCCTCTAGTAAAAGGAACAGCAGGAACACAAAAGGAGAATTTTTCTAATTCCTCAGGATCAAACACTACCCTCCTCCTCTCCCAACAGGCTTCTCCACACCTTCGAGAGTCATTTGTCTCTTGTGCTCATAACTCTGTCTCCATTTCTCCTTTTGCCTCCATTTTCCTATCACAACACTCATGTATTCTATGCTTAATAAACAAATATCGAATGCCTGCTATGTGCCAAGAGTTGTCCAAGGACCTCGCGTATGGCAGTAAACAGGAACGACAAGGACCTTTGCTGACAGAGGAAGACAAAATACATTTACTCACTATGAAGGAAAAAGGAAGATAAAGGGTTAGAAAATGGCACGTGGAGTGCTGGTGGTGGTGTCACTATCTTAGAGGAAGACTGGTAGAGCCTAATGAGACGAGGTCTGAACAGAGATGCGCAGCACATGAGGCAGTGAGCCACCTGAATATCTGGGAAGCGCGTTCTAGGCACAGGAAAGCAAGCAAGACCACACATAGTGTCTGAAGAAGACCAAGAACTATTTCTCCTCTGGTTCCAAAGTGCTCATGATCTTTGATAGAGCCTCCAACTAGGCATGTAAGAAATAGCTCCGCATGGTGCCTCAGTGTTTCAGAGAATCACTCCTTCTCTATCCTCCATCCATGTGCAGCTCACTCCCCTCCATTCCAGCTTCAATAGCCATCAACATAGTCTGTCCAGAATCAATGACTCAGCATTCGACTTGTGACCCAAATCAGGCCAAGGAGACTTAATTCTAGGACTTTTGCAAGAATTGTTGGGAAAGAGAAGATGGAAGAATGCAAGCCTTGGAAATGTTGGGAAAAGTATGGGATGAGGATGGGGATGGGGATGGGGTAGGACATCAAAAGGGGAGGCCTGCCTAGGAGTTGAAGGTGGAGGGAAACCAACCACTAATATCTGAGTCCCTGGATCTAGTCATGCCAGGACCTAAAACTATCTCTGGACTCTACAGTAATACAGCCAATAAATTTCCTTTTTTGCTCAAAACAGTTAGTGTTTGCTTTTCTATTCCTAGAAACCCAAAGAATCTAGAACATTAATTTTGTTTTGTATGTTTATTATGACATATGTTCTTATTCAGTATATTAAAAATAAAAGACAAGACTATCTCACATTAAAGTGTTTTCACTCTTTGTACATACGCAGTAGAATGTTACAAAAGACAAATGGACAACTCAGCCTTAAATAATTTAAAACAAAGGAAACAACCTAAAAGCAATAATTTTAGAGCAAAGACAGCATCTGTGGAAGCTTCTGTGTGATAACAAGAATATATTAGAATAGACAAGACCAGTCCAAACACCTTTTTTGTTTTACTGACCTGCACAAGAACCAGGTAATACTGCAGGATATTGCTAACTGGTAGAGCAATGTGCTCCTCAATCTTTCTGAAAATTTTCTTGACCATTCAAGCTCATTTAACTTTTCAGGTTTACTTTATAGTCATTAAGTATATTTTTAAGTTTTTAAAATATTGTATTGTGATTAAAAGAGTAATACAGTCTTGCTTTAAAAAATTCCAATGTTATGGAGATAAAAAAAAATTAAGTTAAAAATTTTTTTAAACTTGTTTTTCTTCCCTTACTAAATATTATTTGGACATCTTTCGTGTCAGTACAGATAGATTTTGCTCACCCTTTTCAAGATAGCATAGTACTTCATTACAAAAATTTATTTCACCCCATAAGACATCAATTTGAGCTACACATGTAACACAAACTTAGAACAGTTAATGTTTTTCTTTTGCATAAAGCACAGTCACTTTTTCTAATAAATTTCAACCAACAAAAGGATCCTAAGGATAGAGAGTTAATTACCAGAACACAGATAGCCCCAAAATGGATCTAGTATATATGATTTAAGAGGGATCACAGAAACACGGCAAGGGAATGAGAGGTACTGAAAGACTGATGTGCTGTTTGGAAAGTACATCAATTTAGATCCTCATCTCATGACATCAACCTAAATAAATTTCAAATGGATTCAAGAGTTGGAAACTAACAAAATAAATCAGCATGAAAATTCAAGCACACAGAAATCAAAGACTGGCAAATTAAAACACTTAGATATTACATTTTGTCTTTCAAATTAGCAATATTATGTTCAAATTAGCCATAATATCTAGTGTCAGTTAAGTATAATATGACAAGTTTCTCAAGTCAAATGTAGTATAACAAGTGATAAAAACTACTGAAAAGTAATTTACCACAAGGTATCCAACAATTCTTATCTACTAATTCTCAAGGAAGTAATCTGAATTTTTCAGAAAGCTACAGGTAGGAATATACCCACTACATCAAAATGTTACACCATCATTAAAACACCTAAGTAGGATTATAATAAAAATTTGGGAAAATATTTATAGTTGACCTAGGAACAATTCAGGCATTATAACAGGGCACCTACAACCCCCACACACACTGCCAACTGTGAGTCGAAAATCTGTGTACAACTTTTGACTCCCCAAAAACTTAACTACTAATAATAGCCCACTGTGGACTGGAAGCCTTACTGATAATAAAAGCAGTTGGTCGACATATATTTTTTATGTTACATGTAATATATACTGTGTTCTTACAATAAAGCTAGAGAAATGGAAATGTTTATTCAAAGTGTTACCAATCTCCAAAAATCTTTCCAATACATTCACTGAAAAAATTCATGTAAGCAGACACATGAAATTCAAACCTGTGTTGTTCAAGGGTCAACTGTATATTAAAAACATCAAAGAAAAGGCAAGATACAAACTATACATAAAAATTTTATCACAACTAGATTTTTTTTTAAGTATTAAAACTCTTAAGAAAATACCCCAAAATGTTAACAGTAAGTATATGTCTGATAGGATTATGGTAATTTTAAATTTCTTCTTTCAATTTTCTAGTATTTGCCAAATACACATTTATAGCCAGAGAAAATAATTAACCTTAAAAAACTTTCAATCTGGATCTTCCACTTCTTGAAAGATAGAATATTATATATCTATCTTATTATATAGCTATATTAAATATATAATTTAATTATATATATCTATATATCTATATATCTTATTATATATCTATATTAAATATAGTTTAAAAACTTGACATTATGTATAAAACAAACAAAAGGAGGCTCTGAAGGGCAAAGAGAAGGATAATCCAGGGAGCTGAGGAGCAGGGATGGCACAATGGTGAGTTCCCCGGGTTTTCATTTTGCCTCACAGCACCTTGACATGGAGGTGAAGAAGCCAGCAACTTGGAAATGCCAACAGGTGCAGACAAAAATAAAGTCACAACTTTCTTTTTCTCTCTCTAGCTAAAAAACCAGGTAAGGGGAAGTCTAACTGCTCTACTGGAGTCAAACACCAAAGGAAAGAACTCTGGCCTCAACTACACCCCTTCAGGCAAAAGTTAAGTGGGGAGCCTAGAGTTCTACCCTTGTCCATTTGTCA